TATTATCGATTAAATGAAATCGAAAACGTTTTTGTCATTTTCTCTTGCATGTGCATGCATGTAAGGGTACTTTCACATAAATGTAAACTTCCTTCAGGAGTCACCACAGCAGATCATCTCCCTCCACACTATCCCTGGCATCTTCTTCTGTCACCAACCCTCTGCATGTCCTCCTTCACTACATCCATGCCTTTGTCTTAAGCAAATAGTAGCACGATTTCCACCAGCACCCTGCTGGCCAACACCATCAGTGACAGTAATTGTTAACTCAGGCCGCGACAGATTCAGTGGGGAAATCTTATTGATTATCCGCATGTTTGATTTGGGATAGATTTTGTGCCAGCTGCCCTTCCTGACACAACCCTCCCCATTTATCCAGGCTTGGGACTTGCACTAGGAGTACACTGCCTTGGGGCTGTGCCTGTAGCTGTGCTTCTTGGACATAAATTTAAATAATCATGATTATTATTACAAATTATGACCATTAGCTTGTCAGTGTGCCCCTCGAGCACTTGGTGCCCTACATGCAGTTTGTGAAGAGTGTGTGTATATAGAAAAGCAGCACTGTTTAGACCTCAACCCTGCTGTGTTCCTCTGGGATGAGCAAAGTGAGGTTTCAGTATGACTGTGCAGGGAATTCTACATTGCAAAATATTCCCCTTTAATGCATCCATCTCCACTTTGTAGATTTAGAGTAGTAGCACGGCTTGCAGCTAGTTTCTTAGTGTGAAACCATGTGTGCAGTGGTGTGTTCATGTGAAACTGTGTGTATGAACGAATGTCACCACATGCCACTCACACTGGTTTACCTGTGGAGGTGATTATGACTCAGTGTGGCAGGTCACGCCTAGCAGTCATACAGCTGAGATAGGACTGACCTTTCATCATGCAGTAGAGTGAAAGGCTCATGTCCAGCTGAGGTGTTGATTACAGTGTGTAGCACAGTGTTGTTTATTTAAGCCATGAAAGACCTCCACAGGAAGCAGGACACTGTTTGGGATTTCATCAGTGCATCTAAAGAACCCCAAAGTGAAATTCAACACCAGCAGAGCTCAAAAAAACAGAGAGTCACATTTTGACCAACTGGACTTAAAATGCAAAAAAGGACATGTCTTTTCACTTAATTTATCTTGCACTTGCCCTGACACATTGTAGAGTGAGACAAACAGTCTCACACTTATCTAAAACTTGACTGTACAGTAGGGAAACCTTTTCCGATTGCCGTCTTGAACTGTGGCTCACCATTTGGCAGTTGTAGGAAAGCAGCCTTGTTAATCCAGCGCAGATATGCGCTGTTTGCATTCCTTCCTGTCACCTGGCTTCTGTGTGCCCACATCTGGATCACAGGGACAGCTGTCATTACAGCTTTTACAAGTGACAAAATGTAGTGGCAGTGAAAGGTGGAGGGAACTCACACAGCAGAGAGCTCTGGATGTTATGCCAGAGCATGTGCTCACATGCACTTTTGTTTTGGTGTTTGTAACGTAGTACACACACACACGTTTTTTGTGCCCCATGTAAACAAAATCCAGTAACCGTGATATCTGTAGTACTAGTTCTGTTAAAAGCATGGTACCATTTAACACTTTAATTGCCAAATATTACTAGCACTAGCTATATAAATATAATAGCTATAGCTTTTATGATTAAAGGTGCTAGAGAGTTAATGAGATTTTGTTTAAAACAATTTTTTTATCCTCTCTATTTAAACAAATTAGCAAGCATGGCATGCATTTAATTACATCTATGCTTGTGCACACATTTTTGTCACTAATCTTTCTTTATTTCACTTACAAGCAATCAGTTGGATTGATTTCAGATTTCATAGTGGCTGGGGCGTGATTAAAGTTCAGCAAAGAAAGATGATTGCATATACACTGGCAAACATGCAGTATATATATACATACATACATATAT